TGGGGTTTGCCACATAAATATAAATGTTAAAGCTAAAATTCAGATTTGAGTGATTAAAGTTTGTCAGCTAAATCCATCTTTAGTCACTTCTGAAAATGAACTGGTTTTCAGAAGTGTAAAGCATTTGGACTTGCTTTTGGTTTCAACAGATACTCAGGTTTGAAAAAATTATTCTTACTACACTGATGGGTCTATATGAATGAGAGTCCTTTCAGTTCACTCAGGTGCACAGATGTGTCACTACTCTTCACCATATAGGATCAAAACCTAAGAATAGTTCTTATTTTAGTTCCCAACCCTGCTCAATGCTGACTCAGTCCAGTGAAGGGTTTAAGCATTACATTAAAGAACACTGAGCGCATGAAAAATTGGAACCATTAACATAATTAAAAAGAGGTTTGCATTTGAGTGTTTTTTGGAACTGAGACTTATGAGAAAATAATGGAAAAGAATAGCAAATTATTTGCAATCAAATTAAGGAATAGAACTTTGGAAATAGTCAGATTTAATGTACATCACAGAGCTAAACTTTTAATTTTCTATAGTACAATCAAGCCTCAAATACTTCCAAAAATTTAATTACCATTAAGGACTTTTTATATATATATCATGACAAAATCTATTCTCTGTATGCATATGTAATATATGCTCAATAAACCAGCAGAGCAAACAGGAGAAAAAATATTTAAAGCCGTAAATCTCTATAAAAAATTTATTGGGGTATTTTTTTCACAGTAAGAAATGCATTTTGCAGTTGAATTACTTTTTTCCATCTGTTACACTTGAATTGGGTTGACTCACAAAAGAATACAAAGGGCTGAATGAAAAACAAACATAAGCAAAAGCCTTACTTGTTCTAGGTTCTGAAACAGAACAAAACTACCATACTATATGGTGATAACTGCTCAGTTCATGTGCCCCATTTTGTATCAGTACATTTCTTCTGATATTTTAGTTTTTAGTTTCTAAATTAATTCTAGCTAACTGATTGTTTTTTAAGTTTGCCACATGAAAAATGTCTGCAGAATTTTACAATCTTGGGGAAAAAAATCCTGTCTCACTACAAAATTAGGAAACAAATGCCAAGCATTAAACCTTGCTCTCTTCCTATATGAATGTATATAAAAGTTGTATCAGAAAAAGGAAGGAGAATTTCCAACTGAGATCTTAAATTGGGAAAGATCACTAAACACATTTTAAATAAATTCTGTTTTAGCACAAGTTCGGATTTAAACAGAAAATGGGAATGGTGGAAAGAGCATGTAATTGCTCAAAAAATATATCAATTTACTTGTCATTAGTATTTATTATTTGCATAGCCCATTTAATGTTTTATAATAGATAAAGTAAAGTCCATCTATCCCCAAAAAGTTTATAATTCCACAAACAGTTACTAATAGGAATAGTACTTACTACTGTGAGCAGCCCTATTGAAGACACGATAGTCTTATATCAGAGGGGTAGCCGTGTTAGTCTGAATCTGCAAAAGCGGCGAGGAGTCCTGTGGCACCTTATAGACCAACACTTCAGTTAGTCTATAAGGTGCCACAGGACTCCTCGCCGCTTTTGATAGTCTTATACTGACTATTCTCAGTTACAGATTCTTTCACCAAAAGTAAATGTTTGCAATACTGAGCCCCGAAAGGTAGACAAAATATGGGATGCATTGGGAAATCCAGAGATTGGGATAACTGATTAACTTTCTTGTTTGTCTTCTGCTGATTGGATAGTTGGTAAAGTTCCACAACAAAGAGAAGGAGAGAGATCAGTAATCTTTAGATATCTCACTTTCCAGTTTTGAGACAGAGCAGACTTGACAGACTAAACAGAGTACTTCACATTTGACTCTCAGAAAAATCATTAGGGATGAAAACTTAAAGCCTGAATAATAATGGTTTATTAACAGCTTGTCAGAAAGTTAGCTTGTCACGTACTTTATTGTAAAACAAAAATGTTTATCCTATCCCTTTTAAGATCCAACAAAAACATAATGAAATAGTTCTTCAGGCTGCATAAGGTGTAATCAATAGAGCTATGACAATTTACACCAGCTGACTCCTACTCCCAAGATTTTCAAAGAACAAAGATGGGCACTGCTTTAGGCAAGTTCAAAGCAAAGACCTGAAGTGTGGGTTCCAACTGAAAACATTGTAAAGAACTCCTTTAGCTCTCCTTTCTATTCTCACTTTTTGTTACCCTTTGTCCTCTTTTCTAATGTTTGTTGATTTATCCCATAACAGGTCATTTTTATATGGAGAGAAGGAATTCAGACAAACTTGTCAAACATAAATAAGGCTCTAGAGAAATTTCTGTTAAAGACCAGTTTAAATGCCAAAGAGTTCATATTACTGTACATTCTTTGCATTAAATTCAACAAGAGTGAAACTGGATTAGCAGATTTAGTCACTTGTGCAAGGGAGGGGAATTATCTCCAACTCAGTGACTAGCATAGAAAAAATGGTTCAATTTCTGAGAAGTCTTTGATTAAGGTTCAGTTACTGTTCAGTTTTTACATGGTATGTATGAGTGCTTTTGAGGATTTTTTAAATGTGGAAACAAGTCCATATGTATATTTTGAGTATATGATTTCAAAGTTACTGTATATTTTTTCCTCTCGTTAGTTTACCTTTAGGTGCTATGGTAGGAAGACCAGGTGCCCAGTTTTTGACCAGAAAGTCTGGCTGAACAGGGGACCTGACAGTGTCCAGTCAGATCTACTTATGCGAATGCTGAGAGCACTCCGATCCCATTTATTCCCATCGACCTCCCACTGTGAAGGCAGCACTGAGCTTGACTTAAGATATGTCAACTCCAGCTATGTGATTTATATAGCTGCAGTTGTGTTTTTTCTGGGGCTAGTAGAGCCTGGGCCTGATTGTGGGAGGGGTGACAAGGCACCTCCAAGATTTTAAGAGGAAGAGGTGGAGCAGGGTCTGTGTCTGGGAGCAGAGGTGGGACAGAGGTGAGGCCTTGGGGACATGAGGAGAAGAGGCCAAGCAGGGAAAGTTCCAGCATTTCTGCTAGATTGTATGGATTTTAAATATCACTAAATTGGCAAACCTATACTGTGGTCAAGGGAATCCTATAAGTACCTAAGTGCCTCACATTATTGAATGTACGTATTTGTCCTCAACACACCTGGTAAACATTGTTGCCATATTTTATCAATAAAGAACTATGTCACAGTAAGTATCTTACTGAAGGAAAAATGTGGGGAAACATGGAATTGAAACTAGTTCCTTTGTCTGAGACAAGTGCCGTACCACTGGACCAGCCCTTCTTGAGGATATCCATGTTTTAGTGTGTAAGTGTAACTCATTTAAATCATATTTGGGGGAAAAAAAACACACAAAAAAGTACCCATTCAGATTCCTAAATATTGTTGTACATCATAATCTTTAAAATGTAATGAGACACAAAGACAAAGTGAAAAATGACTAGCAGAGCTCTAAATAATATATGTGTAGATGAAAAACACAGTTGCACATGTATCTAAAATAATCAATGTACATGGCTGTAAAATAATAACAGCTTGAACTTTTTCCTTCCCTGTCTCTTTCTGCATTTATCAAATTTAATTTTAAAAAAAGTTGGTCAAGAATACCTGCCCTCCTCACCCCCGCTATTATCTTTACCAAGGGGGAAAAATTAAAGTTGATGGTCATGGGTTCTATTCAATAGGAAGTCTACGTTTAAAAACTGCAGTTAGCTCCATGTGCATAGCTGGGAAAATTAACGAGAGCCTCAAGCAAATCCACAAAATGCTAGTAGTCTTTTGCTATACATCCCTGTTTCTATCTATCTAAGGGTATGTCTACACTTGCACCCTCTTTCAAGAGAGGGATACAAATGCAAGTGAGCGAAATTGCAAATGAATCACGGATTTGAATTTCCTGTGCTTCATTTGCATATTCGCGTTATGGCTCTATTTCGAAATACCACTATTTCAAAAAAAGAAACTCTGTCTAGATGCGGTTATTTAGTAAGAAAATCCTTCTTCTGAAATAACCCTTATTCCTCCTACAACAAAGTTTACCAGTTATTTCAGAAGAAGGATTTTCTTACTAAATAACCGCATCTAGACAGAGTTTCTTTTTTTGAAATAGTGGTATTTCGAAATAGAGCCATAACGCGAATATGCAAATGAAGCACAGGAAATTCAAATCCGTGATTCATTTGCAATTTCGCTCACTTGCATTTGTATCCCTCTCTTGAAAGAGGGTGCAAGTGAAGACATAGAACACCGATGTAAAGGGTATGTAAACGATACAACAGTACCTATAAGAAATTGAATTTACTTTCACCCCCTGGACTGAGCCAAGATGAGACAGAAAAATAGGATGAACCTGGAATACGACTACTTCTGATTAAACCTTATAGAAAAGAGATAAAATGGAGAAATTTGGACTAGTGCTCTGCCTTGGGGCTGCTAAATCAATGCTTAAGATTTGAACACTAGAAAAAATGTCTTTTTTGTTAAAACACAGCAAATTATAAGGGTTTATAAGGATGAAGAAAATATTACACTTGATAGAATTCCCATTTTCAAAAAATATACTAAAAATTGTAATGGAAAATTTTTAACAATCCCTTTTTTTCACAAATCTGAAATAAATAACTTAATTGAGTTAAGGAACCTGAGCAATGCCGGGTACAAATGCTAGTATAGAATAAAGCAAAAAAATCAACAAGTAAGTGAAATAATTACTTGGCCATTTTTAATAATAGAGGCATTGCATACAATGCTTTGAGCCCATGTATGGACCCTCTGCTCTCAGTGGGAACATTGTTGCTACTGAGACATGTATGGCTCCAAGTGTACAGGGAAAAAAATAATTTCAAGGAAGTTCCTTTTACCCTACTGAAGGAATCAATATTATCACAGAATTAGTCAATCAGAATTAGTTATATTATTTTTCATGTATACCCCTGAGCTTATATAAAGTCTTATTTCAATAGATTTTTGGCAGATTGTCACATTTGTAAATGAAGATACTTACAGGTCCTGTTATTTGAGCTGCACTCTCAAATTCATCAGCATCCTCCATCAGTGTTTCCACCCCAGCCACTGAAGCTGTTCCAAAGAGGTAGAAAAGTAGTGATATCACATTCATCTAATTACTTAAGTATAATAAATCTCAGAGAAAATGTAAAACCTATAAATGAACTGCCAGGATAGTAAATATGACTACAGTACAAGTGTGGGGGTTGTATTATACTTTGTATAGATTTTAATGTGTGTGTAGGTTTGAGCTCACTTACTGCATGTGAATGAAGGCTTGGTAAAATGTGGAACAGTATTTCTAAATGGATTAGGGTGACAAAGAATTAAAGACGGTTGCCATGATGTCTGTAGCTTATTATTTTTATTATTATTTAGCTATTAAAACAAAATCCTGCTTGCTCTTTAGTGTGTGCAGTAGCACAGTTAAGCAGCTTTAATTTAATTAAGCCCATTAAGACTCCCACTGAAATGCTGTTAAAACAAAACATCCTTGGAAAACAGAAGTGCTAGCAATTTTTGAGTGTAGCATTCAGAAACCTCAAAGTATAAGAATCGTTTTCCATTAACATTATGACACAAGTGTCATTAGAAATTAAATTACAGGCTGAATTTTGCACTGACTTACATCCCCCATAGTCCATGGCCATAAGCAGTTTCATATGAAATAGTATGAACATGTTTAAAACTAAGCACAGCTACCTACTTACACCAATAATTAACATCCTTCATTTAAATACTTTTTCCAACACATCGGAAAGCCAGCTGGGAAATTTTTAATATACCTACAGCTTACAGGAAAAGAGTTTAAAGAACGTTCATTACAGCCTTTTTAAACACTATTTGTTAGAAATCATTTGTGGGTTAATTACATTGAGCAGAAAATAGAAACCAATAATTTATGCTAACAGAGAATTGTAATTTTCACAACAAAGTATTCTTTGTATAACAGACAGCTAAAGTTGATTAAGCTTACTAATTACACTGTATCACACAACATAATCTGTAACTCCAACACAATAAACCTATAAATACCACATACATACTTGCATATAGCAACACTTGTATTATTTTTGTTCTTTTCAGAATGTTTCTGTTAAAACTGCCAACGGAAACACATTCACTCCTATGCCTTGGATATTTATATAGCTAAGGGCCATATAATGAGGAATCTCATTTTTTACATTATTCTTGTATCAACTGGAGCAATGTTTAGCACTATATGCTGCCCATAACAGCTCATGCACATTATTCTTTTCCCATTAGCAATTTGTTCTATTGTAAAACTTTTGTATTTGGTTCCCCGTGAAAGCATGCATTGAATGCAAAGATATGTTTTTCATTATAGGTTTCATGCTTAGGGTTTGTTCTACATAGTTTCATGGGACTTCTTGCAGAGGAGGGTGCACTTCTTCACATGAGGGGGCCAGGATCACACACTTATTAATTATTAAGTAAATGCTGTAAGCTGCTACAGCAAGTATTTTTCAGTATTCAAGTTGGAAAATTGCAAGCTGGTGGTGTGGAGGGAAAGGGGGCAAATATTGCAGTACTAACACCAGGTAGCATTGTGACAGGATTGGGACTCGTGGTCTTGCTGAAGGGCAGACAAGGGATACTTTACAGTGTTTTGATCGCCATGCATTCCAGCTCGGGACAGTCCTAGGGAAGAAAAGGCTGAGGTAGGGAATCCATAGAAAGTGACAGGACAGACTAGTGGAGGATCTGCTTCTCACCACCCCTGACCTCCATTGAAATTCCTGTAGCGTAACCTAGGGACACTTAGGTTGTTTTCTGGGCAGCAGAATTTGGTACTGAGCTATTAAATCCCTCTCCTTATCATTTTTAGAGATGATATATGGTTAAATGCAAAAAAGGGTTAATTTATAACTAATTATTGAAAACGTCTTGTATTATAAAACTTTAATACTGATGGTCTGATTCTACTTTCTCATTAACATTAGATTAGACCAGACATGAATCCGTATAATTCAACAGGGTTGCAATAATGTAAAACCAACATAACAGAAATCAAAATCAGGCCAGTGTACCTTTTTTGGTGCCTGATGCTGCAGCATTTATTCACATAAGCTATCCTGTCATGAATTCTCATTGACTTCAGTTGGCAGAATAGCATGATCCAGGATTACTCATAAGTATGGATTGCTAGACCAGATAATTAGGTAATTAATTCTGACCCCAGTACATTTTAAAATGCACAAGAGAATTATTCCAGGTCTAATAACATCATGCCAACTAACTAAGGAGCAGATCACTATCCAAAAAATAGAGGCATGCACTTTAATTTTGCTAAGCATCAGCACTGTGCTTGTAAATTCTGAACAAATGGGTAACATCAACATTTCTCAGAATATATATATCTTCTCTCAGCTGGGAGTACAGCATGATTAGTAGTGATAACTAAGAATTGAAAATAAAGCCAAATTACATTGGACAAGCCTGATTTAAAAATAGCAGAAAGGTTTATCTTATGATGCATTCTCATAGATGTAATTAAACATTGAAAATATAATAGAATGGCTTTGCTTAGTATCACAGGCATTTTCAACAGGATTTAAAAGATTTTCTACTGTGTGTAGATGATTATAAACACATATGCAATACTGACTACAGAGGAATACAAGATAAGAAATCAGGCTATACTTTAAATATAGTAAAGACTGGGTGGGCAGCTATGGGTTTAATGCCTATTTCTGGAATGTGCCTGCATATGAAAGACAGTAATTTTCAATAAAAATATTTTGCTAGACAACACTTTAAGGAAAAAAAAACATTTTAAGAAGAGACTATTTTGCCCAGGGAATGCCACACGGAGGCAGAACATTTCTGAGAGTGCCTTGTTAAAAATTTGGCAGTACATCATTGCTGCCCTCTCTCCTCTTTCCTGGAGGCCATGATATCTTTTGTCTGTCTGGGCAGTAGTTTTTTAGTTTTCAGCTCCTCACTTACAAAAGGCAGATGTGTTAGTAAGGGTGGGGGGCTTCCTGCTCCCATTTGCCTGCCTACATCTGCTCCCTCCTTCTCTCTTTTAAGTACCTCTGGAGGAAGCACAGCATTTGTGATGTAATTCCTGCAAATGCCAATCATATGCAGCAGTCTTCATCCCTTAGTAGGAAAGTTCTGTCATGGAGTCATAAACTTTAAGTCCAGGAGGGACCAACATGATCATATAGTCTGCCTTCCTGCATGTTGCATGCCACAGAACCTCACCTACTCTCTCCTATAATAGACCCATAACCACTAAGGGTGTATCTACACAGCACCAGAAACAAAATAAGCTACGCAATTTGCATTATGCAAATTGCATAGCTTATTTCAAGTCTATTTTGAAATAGCTTATTTCATCATTTGGTGCGGTCTACACAGCACCAAATTTCAAAATACAGTGCTATTTCGAGCCATCCCTTACTCCTTGTACAATGAGGCTTACAGGGATGGCAAAATAGCGTGTCCGCTATATTTTGAAATAGCGGAAGCGGTTCAAAAGATGAGGGGTAGCTATTTCAGGATACCTCTGGTATCCCGAAAGAACTTTGCTGTTTAAACATACCCCAAATGAATTACTAAAGTCCATGTTGCCCACCTTCTGCAGCTAGCATCACACATGGCATTGAAGGGGCACTATGGAGCAGGCATATATACAAAAATGTTTAATAAATAAAATCGATCTTAGGGGAAGAAATCTAACATAGATAATAATACACTAATACAGTTGGAAGCAGGATTTCTTTTAGGGGCAAATACAGATTGCCTACTGACTGCTGATTAGCATGATCTTGATGCACAACCCCAGTCACAGAAGTACTAGTATTCTTTTGAGCTATCGCATAGCTCATTCTTCTTGTCAAGGGTGCTCAGTGCTGCATGAGCATTCTTTGGTTTGGAGTTTAAATCTAAATAACATTTCATTTTTAATAGTATATATTTTACCTCTTTTCCCCACCCCACTATTTCTTCACTATTATTTTTTGCTGTGAAGGACAGTGGCACATATATTGTATAACTCACCATTGGAATCTAATTCTGCTTGCTCGGGTGTCTGAGAAACTAGTGAGACTTCTTCTGCCAAGTTATCCCCTTGCAGTCTAAATGAAGAAACACACATATGTGAACATTGTATAATATAAATTTGTACATTGTTCTTTCTGAATTGTCCTGTGGTTTGGTAGGAGACTGAGGTAGTTTATTCCTGGCCATCTCCTACCATCTGACAGTCCAAACGCTAAAAGGAAATCATCGGCTACGAAATAGATATTGTGATTTAAACACAAGAACTTTATTTCCCCAGACATTATATCATTCTGTGATGGGGTCGATCAGGTCTTTTCTGTCCCCTGCTGGAGGTCTCAGTGCTCTGATACCCCATGCACAAGCTAATCTTGTTCAGACTGGCTTCCAACAATACTTAAGCCTGGAAGGGCTAGGAAGAAACACTGACCAATTGGTAGGTAGTGGGCCAATTAAGGCAGCCTACCTGCTTCTTCTCAAGGGCAGTGCTGGTGTGTGTGAGATAGCAGAGAAGCTCCTTAGTGAGAGCTCAAAACCCAAGGGCCAGGTCAGAGCTTTGCCTTCAAGCACCATCACTAAATGCTTTCATTTGAGTTTTGTTTCTTTATTTAAAGGCACAGAAGGCCAAATCAAGAGTTTATCATTTTGGTACTGACAGTTTAGAGATTGGCACAGCCCACCCTGCTTCAACCAGATAGTCAAAACTTGTGGACTAAAGCAGAGCATACATGCAGTGCCATGCATGCCTCGAAGGAGGGATTACAGAGTAGCCCCACCTGGCACACATCCCAAAACGTGAAATAAAAGAAACCAACCTGTGGGGAAAGATTCAGCAGAAACCAACCACAGATAATTTTTTAAGACGTATGCTAATACTTATGGGTCCAATGGAGATATCCTCCAGCTGAGGATCTTGCCTTCAAACGTTTTAATATGCTCCTAAATGCTTAATGTGAATTTGCTATTTATAAGCCATTAAAATCAATCAGCACCATCTTTCTATAAGTGGGTCTTTGCCCATGAAACCTTATGCGCCCATAAATCTGTTAGTCTGTAATGTGCCACAGGACTTCTCGTTGTTTATGCAGATTCAGACTAACACGGCTACCCCTCTGATATATTTCTGTATGTATTAGAGACAAAGTAGGTGACAGCTTGAAAGTTTGCCTTGCTCACCAACTACAAAAGATATTCCCTCATCTGTTTTGCCTAATATCCTACAACAGACACGGGTTCAACACCACTGCATAGTTTCAGTATATACAGTACTTTTATAAAAGACAAAATGTGCGTAAAAGCACTTTCTTTTTCCAGTTCCTTATGCTTTTTCCCTTGCATTTACAAACTGCAATCAGGCATAAGTGCCCTTCTTGCTTATGTTTTTAATCAAGTGCTTAGATGAGTCCCACTGGCCCTCCCCTAAACTCTGAGTCTTGTTTTCATCCTTGGTAACGATTTGCAGCACTTAACCTCATATAAATGTCAATTACCTACAGTTCATCTTAAATGAAGTGATATTTATTAGAACACGGAGAATATTAAAAAACAAATTTAAACTGAATGAACTTAGCAGAGTCTAGGAACCATAAAATTCTACTCACTCTAACAAAACCTCCAGGTTACAAGCACAGAATCATATCTAATTAACCTCTACAAGAAGTCCCTCCCTCTCTCTCTCAGTTCTTACTCTCTATTTGGACTAACCAGATCAGAGTGAGACTACGAGGGTACATCTAGACTACATGCCTCTGGCAACAGAGGCATGTAGATTAGACTACCCGGCATAGGAAAATGAAGCAGCGATTTAAATAGTCTGGACGCTCCGCGGTCGACATCAAAGGCATTTGTTGACCTCCCAGGTATGCCTCATCCCAGGAGGCATACCTGGGAGGTCGACAAATTCCTTTAATGTCGACCGCGGAACGTCCAGACTACCGTGCTGAGCCGACAAACAGCTGATTGGCTCAGTGCGGCAGCCATGTAAATTTAAATAAAGCGGCGATGATTTAAATCGCTGCTTCATTTTCCTATGCCGGGTAGTCTAATCTACATGCCTCTGTTGCCAGAGGCATGTAGTCTAGATGTACCCTCGTAGTCTCACTCTGATCTGGTTAGTCCAAATCATGCTGATCTTTTTTCTTACGGTCTGGTTTCCATTTCCAATCTCAAATTATTCTAAGGTCACACGGCCTTGTACCCACTTCCCAACACAATTTTGGTGACTTTGTTTCTCCTCCTGTAACATTTAGTTGTAAGGTATCTCCTCTTTGCTTCTTGTTCCCTAAAAGACAACATCTTGAGCCATTATTTTAATGATTTTCTCCCTTATCTCTTCACAATCATTTTTGTTCCTCTTATAATGTCTAATACAAGCTGATGGTGACTTTCATCTGAGGTTGCTCCAGACAGCAAGAATGCAAAATTCAAGAATACCGTTAGGCTTCAGTGGCCTCTAAAACATCCTGGGTTCTCCTTTCACTTTTCTGCACTCAGGTATTTTCTAATTGGAGTAGGTGCAGTCTGCTAATTTTGTAGTATTAGGTTATCTAACAGGAGAGCCACTTGGGACCAATTCTTGAGAATCGGGTCTATAAATCCGGAGCTTAATTAACTCATCATCAGATGTTGCTTAGTTAACCCTCTTCTATTCAGGTCAGTAAGTAATTGAAGCAAAATGCAGGACAATGTAGCACTTTAAAGACTAACAAGATGGTTTATTAGATGATGAGCTTTCGTGGGCCAGATCCACTTCCTCAGATCAAATAGTGGAAGAAAATAGTCACAACCATATATACCAAAGGATACAATTAAAAAAAATGAACAAATATGAAAAGGACAAATCACATTGCAGAACAGAAGGGGGATGCGGGGGGGTGGGAAGGGGGAGGAAGGAAGGTAAGTGTCTGTGAATTGCTGATATTAAAGGTAGGGAGAGTGGGATGTTTGTGAGTTAATGGTATTACAGGTGATAATTGGGGAAACTGTCTTGGTAATGGGTGAGAAAGTTCAAAGTCTTGTTAAGTCCCTGGTGGTAAGTGTCGAATTTTAACATGAATGACAGTTCAGAGGATTCCCTTTCAAGTGCAGATGTAAAAGGTCTTTGTAGCAGAATGCAGGTGGCTAAGTCATTTAGAGAGTGTCCTTTCTGGTTAAAGTGGCAAGAAACTGTTTTCTCTTTGTGATCTTGTCTGATATCTGTTTTGTGGGCATTAATCCTTTGGCGAAGTGTCTGAGATGTTTGTCCAATGTACATAGCAGACGGACACTTTCGGCACATGATAGCGTAGATTATATTTCTGGATGCGCAGGAATATGTGTTCTTGATCTTATAACTCACTTGGTTAGGTCCAATAATCTGTCCGGTGATCTGTGCATGCACAGATCGTTCTGCACATGCGCAGATCACCCGAACCCGGCTCTTCCGGGTTGCAATCTACTCACCATGGGCAAGTAGATTGCATTATTTGTTGAGCCCTGGTTATGAGTACATGCGTGGAGTGATTCCGGCAGTAAATCCTGACTGAAAACAACTGGAAGTTTAGTCTCTGTTAAAATGTTGGCTTTTGCCTCCCCCTTGTACCACGGAAAGATTCCACTCACCCCTGTCACATACCTAAGAGGCTATTTCAAGCCCTATCATGTGTAACACAATTTAGATGCAATTGCTTAAGCACACCTGCAGTTTGGGCATCCTGCTTATTACCTTACTGAATTTAACTTATCAGTAAGATGGTGCCACTCAAAGAAATCAAACATACATACATTCACTTTATAGTTTTCAAAGCACTTTACAAACATTATAATGCAATGAACATACACATAAGAAGAGAAGGTCTTTGAGTATAAGTGCTGTATTAAGAGAAATAGCTATGTCTGGTTCTACAGTGCTGGCGAAAGTTTGATTAAGAATGTGAAAATTCATGGGACATTGCAAATAAAAAAAATTTGGTCATTGGTGATTACTGGGAAAACAGCCAGTTTGAGCAAGAGGATAAATTCCATCAACGAAGGGCTACAGCTCAGGAAAAACAAAGAACCACATAGGGAGAACATGTTCTTACGGACAGCAAGAACTTGCTAAACCCACCATGTCTAGCAGCATGTGGGACAGGGCAAACGATGATAATATTGCTTTCACTTTTTTTTTTTTTAAGTGGAAGTAGCTCATCATTGATCAAAAAGTAATGTTTAGAGTTTTATATCAACCATGCCTCAGTGAGCATAGAGATGCTGCATTCTTCTCAGCTTTAAGATGCCATCTCACTCGTTTCTCCCTCACAGCTCAGAAGACAAAGTACAACATTCATGTTAAAATTCGACACTTACCACCAGGGACTTAACAAGACTTTGAACTTTCTCACCCATTACCAAGACAGTTTCCCCAATTATCACCTGTAATACCATTAACTCACAAACATCCCACTCTCCCTACCTTTAATATCAGCAATTCACAGACACTTACCTTCCTTCCTCCCCCTTCCCACCCCCCCGCATCCCCCTTCTGTTCTGCAATGTGATTTGTCCTTTTCATATTTGTTCATTTTTTTTAATTGTATCCTTTGGTATATATGGTTGTGACTATTTTCTTCCACTATTTGATCTGAGGAAGTGGGTCTGGCCCACGAAAGCTCATCATCTAATAAACCATCTTGTTAGTCTTTAAAGTGCTACATTGTCCTGCATTTTGCTTCAACTACCCCAGACTAACACGGCTACATCTCTATCAGTAAGTAATTGGTTCCTCCTGCATGAACACTGCCTTATTAACACTCTTGAATCCTCTGCCTCTCTCCCAACTGATTCCTCCATCTGAGCACTCACTGCAGCTTGCCATCCATCTCTTGGGTGATGGGGGTTAAGGTTTGGTTTAGATCAGTGTTTCCCAATTGATGCTCCCCAAGGTTCTGTGCCCTGCTACCCACTCAAGTTTGGTCCCACTTCCCTCCATGACGACATGGGCTGGGGATGGCAACAGGACCAATCTGAGTGAATGACATTGTGATCTGGTGCATGGGGTCACAGCACCACTCATGCTATCCCCTCATTCTATGAATTGGACCCTAGGTATGTATCTAGT